TTGGATTAAGCTTAGAATGAAAAACCCAGATATATATTCCATCCACAGCAAAAGTGGTTTTTAAAAAATGCTATCTCGCCTAAGAACATTCTCAGAATATACTGAAAGTGTGTTCAGACCACATTCACCACAATTCAGAATGTCTATCAATCTATCCTTCAGGTTAGTAATGATCATTCATTTACTTAAGGTAAAAGCCATATTTCAGTTTATATTGAAGAAATGAATAAAACTTAGTAAAAGTTAGTCAACCTCCTGGACTTTTCATTTCTCTGTTTTCTAATTTTGGTTTGCATTCCATGCCCATACAACAATAAAAACAGGTTTGCCTATTACTAATTTGCTGCTAAAAATAATTTTTAAAATGTTGAATTTATGAAATAGAAGGGTGCATTAACTATTATATAATTTGCATGTCTAGTTCCTGAATGGGGTGGGGGGCGGGCAAGCTGAACAATAGGAGGTAGGTCCAGTGGGATCCACCTGCTCAAATACAGCTTCCTTTATTGTAAGAGTATGTGTGGGGGGAGTGCCCTTCCTTCTGGTCTGCCCTCTGTGTGATAGGGCCAATGCCCTGTCTTGTGACTAGTCCCTGGCACTTCTGGGCTGGCATCATCAGGCATCTTTAGAAGGGTTGTGCTGCTGTTTATTCAACTTTCTGAGAGCACTGACTGCCACATCCTACCAAAGACTCAACAGAGAGATGCCCCATCCTTTGATCCTAGATGGATACAGTCAATTCTTTCTCATGGACATGCACGTTGGCAGATTGCTGCCCTCCTCCACTTGGAAATAACACCCTGCCAAAGAGGGTATTAAAGAGATAACTTAAAGTAATTCTTTCAGATACTTGAAAAATATTATAGTTGCTGTCATGGTCCTACATAGTCTTCTCTCCTCAAGTTTAAACAAGCTAGGTCCTTCAAACTCTCTTCATAACATAATTCATAGCATAATCATTTCTAACGCTCTGATCATCTCATTGCCATTCCCTGTACTTGTTCCACTTTGTCTGAATTCTTAAAGTATGTTGTTCAGAACTATAAGAAAGAAAGTAGGTTGTGTTAAATGCAACGCAAACCAGAATTTCTTACTTCCCGTAAATTGAAACTATTTGTTGATGTAGCCTTAGATTGCATTTGTTTTTCTGGTGGCCATCCCGGCACTGATTCCCATTTTGTTTGCAATCAGTGACCATTCCAAGGACTTGCCATTGAAAGTTAAAATTTGGTAAGAACTCTTGAAGGCCTCTAGAAGCCATATCTAAGGGTTTAAAGACTACAAGTGGCCTCAGAGCCTCAGGATGTACACCTCTTTACTAAGGGATCCTTGTAAAGATATCCCATTTGGCAATGTAATACAATACTATTTGGGATACTTTGAAGTACCCTTCATTTAAACAGGGTCAATTTAAACAAGCTTAACTATCTTACTGGGCATGTTAGCTCTCCTGCTAACATAACATGTTAGATAAAAAAGGCATAATTATGGCTTATAAAAATGCACTCATGGCTAACTTTTAGATTCTTACTCTGAGTATTACAGTTAGGAACCACCCACCTGTGATTTGTTTTAAACTTACTGAATTGTCTGCAGTGTACTTCAGTGCACAGACAGACCTAATTTAAAAAACAAAACAAAACTAAATATCACAGAACTGTAGAACAAACCCTGAATGGCTGTTTCCTAACCACATCATTTGGTGAGCAAATCAATGAGGCATAAAGAGGAGGGTTTTTTTATAAGCTGTGATTATGGATGGTTGAATCATTTGAATATGTCTACTGATTTGAACATATTTTTTAAAAAATAATTTTGGCTGCTCCCTTTATACTAAGCTTCAGAGATTAAAATTTCAGATCATTTGAAAATATGAGGACTGCCAGTTCAGCTAAACAAAACAAAACACTGGCTCCCTAATTGTCCAAGTTATATAAAGTTGACTTTATTTAGGTTATCAGCTGTATTTACAATTAATTGGAACAGAAGAGTACATAAAATTGATTTATTTATATTCTATCTTTCCTCCAGGAGCTCAAGGTAACATACATACCACTCAGTCCACTTTTTCCCCACAATTCCCAAAAGATAGGTTGGACTGAGAGAGAGAGACTGGCCCAGAGTTCTCCAGTGAGCTTCTGTGGCTAAGGGTAGATTTGAATCAGGCTGTCTCTACTCCTAGGTCAGTACCTTAACTGCTGTACCACATCAGCGCCCCAAGTAACAATACTTATTCATTGAACCCTACCAAGTCCTATCTTTGAGTACTCCAGCAGCAGCACACTGGCAGAGCAATGATTTTTCTCAGCTGCAATGTTTAACTTATTGTTGTAGTGACAACATTATTGATTAAAAATAATAATAAACCTTAGGTAGTGGCAGAGAAAGAGGAACAACACTTATTTTGATCTTATTGGGCTTTTTTATGACACTGCTCTAGTAATCAGGGGAGCATATTTCTGAGGGGGGAAAACTACACAAATTAAGTATCTATAGTTCTGTACCATAAAACCAACATGGTTCATGTTGATACTAGTGTTAGACCTAGTATGAAGAAAACTTTAGTTGGGTATTTTTTGTTTTCTTTAATTCATGGTTAGTAATGAAATTGTATGCTTAAAATGTGTAATAAAAATATTTATAGGAGATAACTTAAGCAGACAACAAATTTCCATCCACATTGCTATGGTCATATTTTGAGAACAAAGCTTTATAATAGGCAAGCATCCATCTACAGTAGTTAAGACCCTTAGTCACTATTACTCATTTACTCTCTATATTATCTTCACTAGAGGAAGCTAGGTATAGCTGGTTCCTGGCAATGCTGATATGGAGGAAGGGATGTAGAGCAGTTACAGAATAAAATCCATTGCTTCCTTCACTCAGCTGTACTAAGAGCATTTGCACACAGTTGTCCCCTTTGTTGAGGGAAGGAAACTGGCCATCACTTTCCTTGTAAACAATAAACCTGAAGACTTTCTTGCTATCCTTTCTTATCTATAAAGCCTGATTCTTTAACTGTACAGGCTACCTGTCTCTTGGTAATGCTGGAGCATAACTTCATGTACCTATTTGTTTAATATAAAAATGTCTGCCCCCTCTAGTATGTATAACAGTCAGTATGGCTTACAATAATTATGATTATACAACACTTTTGAGACCACATATTTGTAGAACATGAAACAAGTTACATAAAATTTGTCCAAGGAAGACAGGAAAATTACCAAAATTGGACAACTGCACAAATATTTTTATTCTACTAAATAAGTTAGTCAAACAAAATAAATGTGGAAGTACGCTATTGTATTTACTAAATACACTTGCCATTATTTCAAATTACTATATACCTCAACATATCATATATATTCACATTCTGACATGTGAACAACAGATACTTTTGCATTACTCTTAGTACCTTGTTTCCCTTGCTTATAACTAGCCATTACTTTTTGTGAAAAGCAGTGCAAATGTACAATATGTGTATAATGATACAAATGCTATACTAATATTTTCTTTTATTTCTTTTCCTAAGCTAGTGAATTTATCAGATGTGTTCCTCTATTTTGAACATAGCCATCTGAAATTCTGAAACAGAGAGAGAGAGAAGGAAGGAAGGAAGGAAGGAAGGAAGGAAGGAAGGAAG